GTTAATTCTGGCAGTTATGTGATTTTATCAGATAACTCTAGACCGAGATAAGTCGGATAAGGCTGTTCAAAAGACGTCTGGCGAACTAAAAAATACTAACAGCAACAATGATTCCTTCGAACATTATTCTGAAACTCTTGTGAATACCAAATGCATAACTTTCAATTGAGGTAACAGAGCTGCCTCTGACGATTGGAGTACAAATTGGATAGCTCTAAGTATTAATAGCTAATAAATCATGCCGTCTTCTAATTGTCGTATTCACATTTGTGCTTCTCTAATAAAAGCATATATGTAGCTCTCACTTAGTAGCTGTTAATGTTTTCTTTATTCACTCCGTCTTAGACCTGAAATGTGTTATGAAAGTTCCGTAGCGCCACAACTTTTCCGCTCGCATTTGATATTCCGCTATGTTTTTGAACCAGTATGCCAACTTGTATGCACCAACAGTTAGGACCTAGTTATTCTTTGTAGCTAAGCGTTTGAATAACTATCCCATTTACGACTTATGAGCAGGATGTGCCGGCACGCAAGCTGATTTGAATGAAGAGGAGAAAAGCTAGTACCACCAATCTAAAAATGCACTAGTATAAGCTGCTATAACCACTAATCAATCAAAACATTCATCGGATTTGAAAAACACTTTTGTCCCTAACACTGAAAGCCTAGTTGAACTGGAAATCAGAACTGAATGTCTATCTGAACGATGGTTGAGGTTCCGAGGATTCAGTGGACTACGCCTGATGTTTGATGCGAAGAGATGTCTTGCATGTTGATCTGGTTTGTATACGTGACCGAGAGCTTCCAATAGTGTCTAGTAAAACTAACCAGATCGGTGTCAATGTTGAAGCCATACAAAACAATTTGTTTCAGGAATCTGTTAACCGATACGTGTGGTTCGATAATGGTTTACAATTTATTAATTATTCCAAAACATCCCAACAAGAGCACCCTACCAGTAAGTTATCACCACTACTTCATGTACTGACCCGACATCTTTACCTAGGACCCGTTTCCTAACAACAGCATTGCTTATTAGGTTGTACCAAGATACATGAGCAATGCTTCAGAGAAACCGACGATCGAAAACCAGTAACCTACGAATATCTTCTACTCTCACTGGCCATGTTTCACAGCCATAAAGTAAGACGGAGCGGACCACTGCACAGTACACTCGTCCTTTGGTCGGGAAACGGATAACTCGACTTCACCATAAGTGACGCATGTTGGCAAAAGCCAATCGAACCTTCTGTATCCGTGCTGAAATTACGTCAGTCACCGGGCCATCAGCACTGATGAGACTTCCCAGATAAGTGGAGCGGTCTACACGTTCGACTACTTCACTCCCTATCACTAGTTCAGGTGCAGTCGCAAGCCAACCCAGAAGCAACACTTTGCATTTCGAGGGAGGGAGTCGCATCCCAAACATGCTGGCATTGTTACCTACAGTAGTCAGAAGACTAGGCATTTTGTCAGTGTCTTCACCAAATAGAACTATGTCATCGGCATATTCTAAGTCAATAAGCGAGTCTCCTGGTAGAAGATCCACCTGTGAGAAGTTAGACGGAGATAGTGTTATCTCTAAAAGCAAGTCAATGATAAAGTTGAACAAGAACGGAGAAAGTGGACAGCCCTCACGGACACCATTCGAAGTAACCGAGTACGACGATAGTTCACCATAAGCTCTCACTCGACCAGTGGTGTTCGAGTAGAAAGTTTGTTTAAGGCTAATGTACTTCTCCGTTACACCTTTCAATGACAGACACTGCCACAGAACCTTATGATCCACAGAGTCAAATGTCGCCTTTAGGTCCAGCAAGACAACTATTGTAGGACACCTAAATGTGTGTCTGTGTGCCAGGACCTGTCGTAATGTGAAATCTGATCTGTACATCCACGTCCAGTTCGGAAACCAGCCTCCTTTCCTACGGTCTGCATTTTACGAGCTCTAGTTAGGTGTCGGAATATTATCGAGGCCTTTATTTTAGACACTACATTAGTTGGACTGATTCCCTGTGATTGTCACAAGAGGACTTCTGTCCTTTCGAATAGACTGGGACAATCAGTGATTGAGACCAGTTGGATGGGGTTATGTCCAGTTCCCAGATTTTGCCTAAAATTTCAGTCGATCTTACTGCTAAAACTGGGCCACCAACCTTAAAAATCTCACTGGCCAATCTTTCAGGACCCACTGCTCTCCCTTGCTTCAGATCTCCTATAGCTTTCTCAACTTCATTAAGGGTTGGAGTACTTACATCCAGCTGTCATTCAGGTTGACTGGAGATCGTGGCTGAAGGCCAGTTGAACTGATCGCTAAAATTTTCTGCCCATCGAGCGATTCTCCTGTCAGTCAGTTGCAACGTAGAACTTCGTACGTAAGTACATCAGTTCATGTCGCCATAGCTTATCAGCACAGAGATATAATTGTCAATTCAAATCCAATAGTAGAAGAGTTAGTAAAGCTATTAGAAGTTATCGGAGAGGTTAGGATTAGAAGATATTATTCAAGAAGTATGATTCAATGGGAAAAGTTTAGAAAGTCAAAACTAGAGAGTGAAGAACTCAGAAGATTAAGATTTGAGAGAACACAAAGCCGGACCCCAACCAGGTAGTCGACAATTACTGACATGGCTATGTCCCTTCGTCAATGACTTCATGGATTTCTGCCATGTTTTGGTTTGGCCGCCCCTAACTTTCTTCCAACCTATTCCTACACTACAAAACAAAGCTCGACGAGGCAGTCGGTGGTTCGGCATACGCAACACATGTTCCAACCACCTCAACTGATGAAGTTTCATTACTTCATCTATTGATCTGCCATTCTTACCTAGCACTCGATTCCTAATAACAGCGTTGCTCACTCGGGTGTCCCAGGATATACGAGCAATGCTTCGAAGACACCTATGATCGAAAACCAGTAACCTACGATTCTCCTGAGTCGAGAATGAATGCTACGACTATTCTTTTCTGAGATGAATTACTGTTACCGGTTTCCTTGATAAGACGGAACAGTTGCTATTGAAACACATTGTTTCTCCCTACCTTACTAGCAGATATCACTACTGATTAGTGCTTTGTGTATGTCGTTCCAACCTACCTCAGGGTTAGTCGGTCAGTTGGAACTTAAATTTCGTACACATCGGTTCAGGCTGCCATACCACAATAGCACTGAGGCGCCATTGTCACTTCAAAGTCCAGCTCAAAGATGCAGTCGTTGGTTAGGAATTCATGACTCATGCTGAGCATCACTAACTACATGGCCACTCAACTGTTCTTCTGGTTGTTTCTGAACCATATTCTTAGCCTTATCATCAATAAGTAGGTTTTTTCGCAGTGTTTCCTGAGTCCAGTAAACCGCAATCAAATACCTACCCGGTCTAGAGTATAACATGAACATGTCGCTCCAGAACTAGCGACAGTCTTCTATCGAACCTCTCCTTCGGTGTCTGATAGCGATGTGATCTAGTTGGGTCAGCTTTGGGGATATTTTTTACGCTTAACGTTAGTGGTTGCTAGAAATAGGTGATTATCTGAGCATAGTTGCAGCTGATGGTCTGTTTGATTGGCCACGACGCCATAAGCTCCACTCTGTTTTACCTTTTCGCTTAGTCTACCTGCTTGAACATTGAAGTCACTAGCCACTAATACTATATATCTCTAATGAGCAGCATTTAATGGGAGCATAGGCATAGACAACAAAGAGGTTACGGCAAGTTACCTAATTTGTACGAGTCCTTAACATTCCGTCTAGTGGAACAGAACCTAAGCTACTGTCTACCGGGATCCTTTGCACTATGAATGAATGCTATACCTACATTAACGAGGCTAGGAGATACACGGAGCATAAGCCGTGTTGGTTCATTGTCGACAAAACAATCGTTAATTTGTAGTGGCCAGAGAAAACGACATACCTTTTATTATGCGCTTTATACGAAGGGTAGTATTACAAACCTTCAAGCATCGGAAAAAAGCTTACCACCTTTGATAAGCGCTTTATACAACAGAGAATTTCGTACGTATGTACATCAGTTCAGGTTGCAAACCGCATTGGCACAGAGACTCAACTGTCAGTTCAAATCGAATTGTGGGAGCGACAGTAGAAGTATTAGCAGTTATGGAGAAGATTAGGGTATTATTCAGTGAGATCGAGTTAGAAAGATAGACATGAGAAATTCAGGTAAGAATTTGAGAGAACGCAAAGAGTGAGTGCACCTACTCCATTGCACACGTTTTGAGCGATGTCATTCAAGATTTATGACCATTGGTGACTTTCGTCTCGCGGACCCCAACCAGGCAGCCTTCATCTACCAACATGACTCAGTCCACTTGTAAGCGATTTCATGGATTTCTGTCATGATTTCGTTTGGCCGCCCCTAGCTTTTTTCTAACTTACTCATACATTGCAAAACATAGCTCGTCGCGGCAGTCGATGGTTGGGCATACGCAACACATGTCCCAACTACCTCAACTGAGGAAGATTCAATACTTTATCTATTGATTTGATATCGCTACCCAGAACTCTTTTCCTAACAACAGCATTGCTTGTACGGTTATACCAGGATGTACGAACAATGCTTCGGAGACACCTATGATCGAAGAAACACTTTATGTGCCCACATAAATGGAGCTAAGTCGTGTTATTCAGATAAATTCATTGCCATCCTAGGTTTGAATGGTGCAACATGGATCTTAGTACGTGGTTTTCTAATACTAAGCTGGAAGATGAAGTGCTCGTTTGGCATCTAACAAATTGGTATTATAAGGCTAATAGCCATCAAGAACTAAAAGTCAATACTGAAACCAAACACGGACATTAAAAACAAAGCTCAACAACTAAGTAAATTATTCAATATCACAACCAAAATCAAATAGGAGGCTTCAAAAATCTGTTTTTCACTTCTGCAGAAATTATCCTTGTGGATAACCTTCAGAAAACTGCGTTCTAACCATGGTGAGCGGCCGTAGGGAAACCTGCGCCAACCGCAGGTTGGACTGGTTTGTCAGTAATCATCAAGATTGAAGTCATCCTCGAAATCAACATCACCACCCGCCAAGTGATTGAAATCGAGCTGATAGCGCAGAATACCTATAGAATAAAACCGATAATTCTAAAGTTGCAGTGAAGCAAACTAGGCGAAAAAAACTTAGCATATCTACATTTTGGTGTATACGGTTTCACACTTGTAATCATTCTTCATAAAGTATGAACCTCTTGTGGTCAAGACACATGAATACAACTGTTTCACACTAGAATAAATAGCCTAATGGTGCTACCTGTTAATCGCTTTTACAAATGTGTAACATCAAAACCAATTGGACGAGGGTATGCTTAGGACACTAAAATTAATGTCAGAAGAACTATGGGTTAGCTGGAGGTCAGCTAGAAGCTGAAGTGTATTGGTGAAATTATTTAGTTGTGTATTCTGGATAGAAGGACGACAACTTGTGAGTCGTTTTCCGGTAAGATGTGCTGAGGGTCTAGTTTTTTTGTTGAATGAGTTAATGGGGGTGATGACACCACCTTTCCAAGTATTATATCTTGAGAGTTGATGTTTAGATACAGACATCCGAATTCTACAGGTATCCTGTGCGTCCTTTAATATCAAACCTGCTGGACGTTCGCGCCTGATTAATCCCTTTGCAGTGATATACGGAACATAACTTAGAAAAAATCAGTACGTTTTTCAGTTACCGTCAGGAGAACTAAAGAACCATGAGAAAGCAGTTTTTCCACTTCGAAACAACTTACCCTGTCGTTACATTTAGGACAGTCATCCACGAGAAAAACTGTACTTTCCTAATAGACCATTTGTTCACGGGGGACAGATATGGAGTCTACAAACTATTTTGCATATGACAAGAGATGCCTAAGCATAATCACTGAGCGAAATGCAGACCTCTATAAGAAGCTGCGAATTGAAATTGATTGACACTAACAAGATGTGCAACAACATCAACAGGAACTTACCACCTATCCCACCGAAGCCACGGACAAACTGAGCACCTTCCTGCGACTTGTCCGTGACAATCTCCAAAGTTGTTCCGAAAGACCTGTAGTTTAGAGCGAGCCAGTCTAGAAGAAGCTGAGTATCGAGTATCTCTAAATCAGAGCCCGTCTCGGGGTCGATGAAATGTCGGCGATCAGTTTCTTGGTCAGGACGCAAGTGTATAATTCTATTTTCTGAAAAAAAGAAAATAGTTGTGTGAAAATAATTTTTAGCTAATGTAGGATCACGGTTTTATGCAATCACTCAATTCAGAGTATCACCTCAAAAATGTCGCATGCCATCAACTAATTGTATGTACTTCCTGAAAGCAAATTTAAGAAAGCGGCATAACGCCGTTATAAAAGTCCTAAAATGAGTTTCAATTGGACGAATCTACAATTCACGATTAGTTAATGCCTGGCATAAAATCCCAATTATCTCCATTCCCTCGAAAAAGAAACCACGTTACCAAAAATAGCGTCGGAAGTTGATTAAGGTAGAAATAGTGAGGTAACGACTTGTTATCAGTTTGAGTACACTAACCTTCAGAAGTTGGAACTTTGAGGACATAGCGGTTCACGCTTAGGTTCTCCCATACCACGAGGGTCTCCACGGCTCCCATCTCTAAAGACTTTAAAGTATCTTCAACACCGAAGCAGTACTTCCCACTATCCTTTAAAACGAGTTAAAATGAATATGCTACTCACTTGAGATATTTCGTCAAAGTATCTTTGAATAAGTTTTTTTTCCTGTATGAATTTCACGCCAGCAAGTGCATCTGTGGCTAGTTCGATAGCCTGGTTAAACCCTGTCTCCCCACCATATGATATATCTACGATTTTGATCAATTTTGCTTGAAGTCTCTGAAAAAGTTTTTACTTATCGGTTAACTAACTTGATCAAACATATCAGATTGTCCCAAGTCACTCTTGAAGTCAGCAATTCCTGCAAGAATAAGGCCTTCGATGTTTGGTCGGTCGTTTGTTATGAAAAGTTGTGTCGCTGTCTCAGCTACTTTACGAACATAGTTGTGTCGCTTTTCCATCCGCAAACGTGCAAAACGAAGCGCAGACTGTCCTCCACGACCATGCTTTTTAGGCAGTTCCACAGTAAATTTGTGCAGAACCTCGCGAGTGTTTCCCGACAATGTCCCGAACAAGGCCCCATTACCATCGACAACAATAAATCCGAATTTGCTGTCGTCCGCCAGCAGAGCTACTAAGGCCTATCTAACGTTAAAGTAGTTAACATCAGCAAACCTCTGTATGAAACTTGTTGTCGCAAAGATATAGGGACGTATTTACCGGTCTAAATGGCTCGAAATCGATATTCACTTTTTTTTCTTTACCATCTTCAGTGACTATTGTTCCACAGTAAACTACGAGGCCATTGGTAGGAACTAAAAAAGTAAAATATTACTGACACGAACCTTTAGTGTACAGCTTCAGACGTTGTTGTACTGAAGTTATTGCACTCAGGACGGATAGGCGATTTACACGACTTTTGATGTTAGATGCCGTTCCATACTCTTCAGCTAATAACTTTGCTATTCTAGTAATCTGATCCTTTGGAGGAATGATAAGCGAAATCATGCTCGTCCCGTTACTATTACTTAAATATCTAATCATCCATTACTTACCCTCTAGCAGACTCTAGACTTTTGATCAGCTTCTTGATTCTCCACATCTCTACATTCTTATCTGCCTGAGAGATCTCGGTCCCATCATTTGTTGATGCCATCGCCACGCGTATTGGAAAACGAAGAACGAGGAATACAAAGCGTGGTTTATATAAAATAGGCGACTTAAACAAACTATGATTGGTGGTTCCAACCCCACTCCGGAATAAAATTAAAAGATATCTGTATTTCTTCGACATGGGTTTTGAACTTATAGATAAGCCATAAGGTGTTTAGCATATACTCCGAAATTTATCATGTTATCAGCTGACACTTCCGAAGTAGTATCTTTCTGTTTTGAACAGTCAGAAAATGGACGACCGGGTCAGGTGGTCCAAGAGACTTTCCGGGAGGAAACTTCAAACATGCACAAGGACAGTGTTTCGTCGTATCATACTAACATTTTCTTTGCTCATCAAATTTACCTAGGTTCTTATTGTAGATGTCGGTGACCCACTGTTACTAGGTACGGAAGATTGTTAAGCGAAAGCTTCTATTTGGTCCACAACAATTCAAGATTGTAAGGTTAATGAAGCGCCACTGAGCCTAAAACGAATCTTCCTGCAGACCAAACCACTTTCACTCTAGACGACGGCTCAATGATCATTAGACGGTCTGCCGAACATAGTCAAGGTAAGGGATAACCAATGAGGATTAACCATTCAATTCTGCTGCCATAAAGTTATTCAGTTTTAATATATTTAGTACTGACATATGACACTCTACAACTCAGGATGATATAATTGACATGTAATAGGTGAAACCTGGATACTCTTAGATACCAAAATACTAAAATTTCTTGACCGTGTATAATGGTTATTTACTTTCGTTAGCTCTCTATTATGTTGAATCGCCAATATCGATGACGGAAATAGTAAACTAGCATTGAGCATATGAGAATTTCATAGTGTTCAGCGCTTCGGACATGCATATCTACTCCGTAGAAACTGACCTATCTTATCATACAATAGCACAGGTTTGGTTTCCAATACTTAATGTTAAACCGTTTACTGGTCGATTTTCTAAAAAGGTTGATAACGTATGGTTCGTTGTTAAACCCTTCATGAACAACCCGCACAAATTTACTAGGATTACTTAACTATTTAACCCAAAGGGAAACTTCATTGAAGCATGTGAGCAACGTTTCAGAAGTTTAGATATTGAGTAAATCTAGGAAAATTAGGTCTAAGTAAATACATGAAGTGAGACCTATTTCCATCGCTGTCTTTCGATCTGCATTTATATTTAAACCAACTCTGTCCTAGGTTTTTCTTTACAGAGCTTTGCAATGTTTGTTCATTTTCTCATGTCTTTCTCTATTTCTCGGCGTAATGCTACACAAATCCGATTATCCCAACCCCCATATTCAGTGAAAATAATAAGACGTGATAAGAAGTAGAACCTGTATTCTACAAGCATCCAAAAAGTACGAGGTCCGAATCCAGAAGAGGATCAGGATCCCGGACTAGGGATCCGGGACCGGGTCCTGGTCCTGGTCATAAAACGTTACAGACAATGCGTATTAATACATTTTGGTCGAATAGGAAACAGCATCGAAGTGTGTGACATTGACAGTTTAGGACAACCAATAAGAGACAACATTGAAGTATTTGACTTTGACAGTTAAAACGAACAAAATTTGGACCGATAGGAATTAACCAATAGGTATTGACCAATAATTCTCTTAGGATATTGGATGAATATCCTAACACATTGTTAGGGGTTTTACCATATAAGAATATCAGCAGATCAATGATAAAATGAGTCAATCAGAATCGGCAAAATGAAAAAGCCTTTTGATCACCAACCTTATCTTCTCGCGTATCACGTTCAGATTTGGGACTGCGCACATCATAACAAAACTAAACATTTCGTTTGTTCAACTATTCGTTATTGTAGTAGGAAATGATATTATCATTAAGTCAACTGACTATTAAGTAAACTTGATGTGTTTAATTGTATATATTGTTTATGTAATATTGTAGAAACGTAATTCATATCATGTCGAGTGGATTGCTTTACCAAAAGTCACTGAATTACGTTTTCATTCATATTATATGTTGTCTTTAACTCAATTCACTGACATTATTAATGTTGGTAGTAGATTTATTCTGTCAAATACTGTAAATGATTTGAAATTATACAAATACCATATATTAATAAGTGAAATTTTTCCCCCTCGATTGTACACTTAATTAACTGATCATTTGACCGTGATAATCAATATATTCACGTAATTACCACTTAGATTGATTGAATTTGTTATTTTCTCGTTTAAGACTCTCTGATGTCCGATAGTTATGTACATAATGGTAGTAGACAAAACATTATTGTTTTTCTTCCTTTCCTTAAAGATCATTCTTAAATCTATTTTTCTAAATTTGTCTAATTTACATTTCAAAACTTTGAGGATGTTAGTAATAAAGCAATGGATTGAGTTTATCCTCTGTTTAATTACATATATTTTCTAAATTGAACCTGGTCAGGAATGTTTAGCAAAAATTACATTATGACAGCCCTTTTTTTCTAAACCAATTATTCTGATGTATAGTTACTGCTGTAGTACATTTAGGTTGGTGTTATTTTCAATTAGTTGTTTGCAATTAACTCAATGAGAAAACGTTTGCATTATGTTTGAGCTTGTATCCGATGTTTTCTGTCTTTTCTGTTGAGGCCTCGAAATTGTATTGATCTCTTGTAATTGATACTGAATATTTTACTTGTTATCAGCGCACTTTGTAAAGAACCGTTAAATAACAAGATATTTCTTATGTACATTCTGGTAAAACACATTGCGTTATCAGTCAATCTCTCAAATATGCAACCTGATCAATTAATTTGAGTATTTCATCGTTGATATTAAGCAGTTGCTTACAAATATACTCATGAAATATGTAGTCTGGATTCATATATCTAAACTTTGTGGTCAAACACCATCATTTGTTGTAAATAAACTGGTCATTGAAAGGTTTGTTTATTACTATTATTATTCTTGAAGGTCAGTATCACTAAGTCTCGTATGTTATTTTAAAGGTTAGTTGAATTATGTGTGGTATAATTTGTTTTACTACAAAACCACTAAATATAGATAGTCGCAGTCGATTGATTCATTTTGATAGATACGATCAGAAAATTTTCATTATTCCGTCATGAAAGGAGCTATTTATTTTAATATCCAACTAGTTCAATTAGTAAACTTGTCTAATGTGGAATTATCTCTAAAAACTGATCACTAGTTGTATTCTTAAATAGGAATGACACATATCTTTAAGGCAGTTCACAAAATTCATCATAGTTTTCTTTCATTCCAAAATGTATGATTAGTTTAATATTTTCAGTGGTGTTTAGACGGATAGCTAAATAGCTGTGTAATGTGTATCACTGAAATAAATAAATTACCCTTACTGACACAGAATCAAAGCAATTTAACTTATAATATCATTGAACCCAATGCATATCTTAGAAGCTCCAGCTCCTGTTCAGACTTGATCAATGACATCCAATGAGGATTAAATAAACATAATACTAGTTAGTGATGAATGATCAATCAATGCACTTAATTTACTAGAGTGAAGTGTAAAATTTGATGACTTTTATTCTTGTTTTGCGTTGTATTTGAGACACCAATAAGTCACTAAACAACAACCAGTAATATTCATCCGGATATTGAATACAATGCGTAGACACTCTGAAGTGTATGAATTAGCAAACAAGTTGAGAAGTTGGACGACACAATTTGGTCAGGATTACGAATCCAATGATACATGATATTGATTGCAGTCCAACGACCAGTTTGTTTCAATGTTTCTTTTTGTTATAAGTGAATGGTCACTCTGATGTTTCAATGGGAAAATATTTTGGTTTGAGGTGGTTAACAACTACTGAAGCTAGAATTTCTACCGATCCCAACAGTTTTGTGACAATTACCAACCTCTTACGCTTGATACCGAAGAGGCTTCATTTAACCAATTGATCGACGGACGACCTAATCGATATACACACATGTTCAATCAATTTACATCGGTAAATAATTTTAACAACTTACAAATTGCACGATCACAATCAAATTGATTGTAGAAAAACATACTGATATAATGTCCAATATAAGAGCAAACATTCCGCTTTCGGATGATTTCTTCAAAATGCTGTGCTTTAGAATGTATAGTTTTTCATTTATAATGTTTGTCAATCAAGTCAACAAGAATGCTTGTCTAACTACTCTTAAAAACTCAATAAGGAATTTGATATTCAACATTGAAATGACTGATAATTTTACATTTGATTTTTTCGTAGAAATCGTTGTTATTCCCTTCAATGTTATGAGTGACTGATTTGTGTGATGATGGAAGCTGGATATAAACCAATTGTGAACTATTACATCAATGAATGCTTTGTTTACAAATAAAGTTATTTCTTATATTGGATGTTTATAAATTTTATTTACGACTCTATATACACAGGATGAATATCATTTCATTGATTAACACCGATTCCTTGAATAATTCGGTTGGGATAGTGTTGATGATTAACTTGTTATATCTAATCTACATCGATAATATTTGAGCAGTTGTTACGTTTAATAGTGCCATTTCTATCCTATATTAATCAAGAGAAATTTTTCGTTTACATTTGAGGTGGTCTGAAGATAGTACAAAAATATTTTAAAGTTCAATTTATGTAATTTTCAAACTTTGTGCAAACATCTTAAAATATTTTGACAAAAATTCTCATTAACTCGTCTTCACAATCCCATTTAATGTGTCATAAAATTAATGACATTAACATTTTATATAATTTAATGATGACATACGTATATACATATATATGAATATATATATATATATATTTATACACATATATATATATATATAATTAAATATATATATATATATAAATATACATATATATATATATATATATATAGATCCTGTTCATTGACGTGCCCGCTCACTCACTCAATTGCTCTTCGGCACTCACATATCATTTTCGCTTCGTGTGCCTTTGGTTTAGTGATGTGTGTGATGCCACAATACACGTAATCAACATTTCGTATTTGTCTTATAATTTACACACTGTTGAATATTCCTCCGACCATGTTTACTTTCCAAATGCTCATGTCTCTTCACTAATCTATAAATATTCATAATCTATAAAATTCATTATTCTACCTCCAACAGTAGTCTTTCTACAATAATTTAGT